AATTTTAAAGTCCCAGATAAAAATTAAGGGGGTGGGGGGGGGGGGGACATGGTAAGAGGTTTATAAAATGATGCCTGGGGTGGAGAGAGTTTGACAGAAGAGAACTCTCTCTCCCTCTCCCAAAACGACTAGAACTCGAGGGCGTCCAGTGAAGCTGATGGGCAGTAGTAGGTTCGGGATGGACAAAGGGAAAGACTCCTTTACAGAGAGTGATTCAAATGTGGGATTCGCTGCCAGAGGATGTCGTGACGGCCACAGGGAGAAGAAACAGCTTTCAAAGGGGGGGGGGGCTGATTCTTGGCCTTGAGACCAGCAGGTCAGTGGCAGGGGAATGTTACATTGGACCTTACCTGAAGGTTCTTTCTCTCCTAAACACCGAAATCATAAATGTCTTTTCAGCTCACAAAAATTACATTCGTTGCCCCAGAGGCGATCCAGTTACTCACTTGCGGACTTTCATGGCCTCCTCGTTGTCATGGCGGAAGAAGTTGTAGGAGCTGTAATGCTTCACTGCTTCCCGGCGGTATTCTCCGACATTGAACACTGCAAAGCGGAGTGAGAGAAGGAGACGGTCGTCAACGAGAGGCACGCACTAAACCCAAGGCCCTTCCACTTGAGAACAAGGCAGGTTGTAGGTTCTTTCACCAAGGGTAACCACGCGCTCGCTGACTGGCCCCCAACGCAACTAAGGTTTGCCTCCAGTCCAGCATGTAGGTAAGTTCTAGAAACCGAAAGGGACCACTAGTGGATTCTCTGGGCTGACATAGCACGGATAGACAAATGGACTAGAAACTTATGCGGACTATTTTGCAAGGGCAATCAAGAGAGCAATACAGAAGAAGAAAAGGAAATTGGACTTATACCCCGGCCCTTCACTACCCAAAGGAGTCTCAGAGCTGCTTACATGTGGAGGAGCGGGGAATCAAACCCAGTTCTCCCAGATTACAGTCCACACTCCTAACCACTACACTAATCTCAACAGAAGTGTCTTCTTTCTCACCCTTGGACTGACTCACAGATCGAGAGGCTCAGGTAATATGAACATACCGAGCCTGCCTCGTACTGAGCCCCATCCGGGCGTATAACGTCTACTTGGGAAAAGTAGGACCTTTCTTACCTTTGCTATCTGAGAGGCAGTGTGGTGCAATGGTGAGGGTGCTGGACTAGATCTGAAAGACCTGGGTTCCTCTCTGGGGTCATCACTATGGTGGCCCACACTGGAATATTGTGAGTACTCTGTTCTACCAAGAGTGCGGGGTGAACTTGGGCCAATAATTTGCTCTTGGCCCAGCCTACCTTACAGGGCTGTTGTGAGGATCAGACGAAGAAAGCGTCATTGAGGGAAAGGTGGGATAGAGGTGATGTGGAGACTGAACCGGTGACCTTCTGGCCCTGAGCTATGGCCTTCTCCTTACAGAGAACCACCTTTCAGTGCACTAGAGATGGTGCGTACGTGAAAAAAAGCTTCCAAGACCCAAAACTCCAGTACATGTTACCCTGGAACCACCTCAATTGGGTCATCTTGAACACAGCACACAAGCAAGGAGGGATACTGGTGATTTCCTTCCTCACGGACATAGACGGTCACCTTAGACGACCCCCACCGCCACTGAAGAAGAAGCCAGAACGACCCCGGAAGCTCACCTTTCGTCGGGACGCCAATCCAGTTGAGGTAGCGTGTCAGCTTCTTGGAGATGTAGGTCTTCCCGCGGGCCGGGAGACCAACCATCACAATCACAGTGGGAGAATTGGTCAGCTGAGGTCCACATGCTGCAGGGGGGGGAACAAGACCAAGAGGAGCCGTTAGAAAAGCCGGCAGAATCGTTTCAGTGCTGCGCTTAATGAAAAAAGAGATAAGACCATATAAGAGAAGCCATGCTGGATCAAGCCAACGGACCATGCGGTCCAATACTCTGTGTCACACAGTGGCCAAAACCCAGGGGCCATCAGGAGGTCCACCAGCAGGGTCATAAGAACATGAGAGAAGCCAATGTTGGATCAAGCCAATGGACCATGCAGTCCAATACTCTGTGTCACACAGTGGCCAAAAATACCAGGGGCCATCAGGAGGTCCACCAGCAGGATCATAAGAACATGAGAGAAGCCAATGTTGGATCAAGCCAATGGACCATCCAGTCCAACACTCTGTGTCACATGGTGGCCAAAACCCAGGGGCCATCAGGAGGTCCAGCAGCAGGGCCAGAATCCCAGAAGCCCTACCACTCTTGCCCCCCCCCCAAGCACCAATACAGAGCATCACTGCCCCAGAAATAAGAACATCCAAGAAGTCATGTTGGAGCAAGTGCCATCAGGTGCCATCAGGAGATCCACCAGCAGAGCCATTAGAACATAAGAGAAGCCATATTGGATCAGGCCAGTGGCTCATCCAGTCCAACACTCTGTGTCACACAGTGGCCAAACCCCAGGTGTTCTCAAGAGGTCCACCAGCGGGGTCATAAGAACATGAGAGAAGCCAATGTTGGATCAGGCCAATGTCCCATCCAATCCAACACTCTGTGTCACAAAGTGGCCAAAATCAGGGGCCATCAGGAGGTCTACCAACAGGGTCATAAGAACATGAGAAGCCATGTTGGATCAGGCCAATGGCCCATCCCGTCCAACACTCTGTGTCACACAGTGGCCAAAACCCAGGGGCCATCAGGAGGTCCACCAGCAGGTTCATAAGAACATGAGAGAAGCCATGTTGGATCAGGCCAATGGCCCATCCAGTCTAACAGTCACACAGTGGACAAAACCGTGGTGCCATCAGGAGGTCCACCAGCCGGGCCAGAACTCCAGAAGCCCTCCCACTGTTGGCCCCCCAAGCACCAAGAAAACAGAGCATCATTTGCCCCAGAGTGTTCCATCTATACCTTGTGACTAATAGCCACGGATGGGCCTATGCTCCATGTTTATTCAATCCCTTCTTGAAGTTGTCTATGCTTGTAGCCACCACAACACTTCCTGTAGCAGTGAATTCCACTTGTTAATTACTCTGTGGGTCAAGAAGTACTTTCTTTGATCTATTCTAAGCCTACTGCTCATTAATTTCACTGAGAGCTCATTCTGGCATTGTGAGATAGTACAAGTGACAGTACACCAGAGACAGTGTAGTGGTTAGAGCATTAAACTAGAAGTGGGCAGACCAAGGTTCATAATCTCATTCAACCATAAAGCTTGTTAGGAGACCTTGGGCCAGTGACTTGTACTACCTCACAGGGTCGTTATGAGGACATAATTCGGGGGACCCATGAAAGCCACACTAAGCTCCATAGTGTGATGTGGTAGCCAACAATTATCCCATTCTCTACAGCTTCCCCCCCAAAAAAAACCCCTACAGTTGATGAAGAACAAGATAAAAAAAATGTACAGAAGAGGAAAATGTTCACAACAACTTTGCCCTGTTGAAGATGGTACTGCACAGCTGTTAGAACACCCAGCTGTCAACCAGGAATTCCTCAGTTTAAATCTTGCTACAGCCAAATCTTGGCTTACCACCAATATGGGGATAATAACGATGGTGACGATGATACAAGGCCTACCTTACAGGGCTGTTGTACCAAGATAATACAAATGAGGTGCCTTGAGCATTCAAAAGCAGTACTTTAAATGTATGTCATGATTTTAACAAAGGGAAAAGACACATCAATCGCGCCATCCAAGCCTCGAGACCAAAGACGTTCCGCTAGACATTTAAAGCTCCGCATCAGCAGAGAACTACTGACTCGTGCGTACAATGGGAACTGGCCACATGGAATGCCTGCCTGGCAGAGCACAGCTTCATGCGGTGGCCCGAAGTAACCCTGCCGCTGCTCCCCCTTCCCAAAAAAGCCCCACACCCTATAGTTTATGTAGGCCTCGCCGCACATGGCCAGCATTTGAGACTGCCACACAAGCACCGATTCCAGTTCCTAATTCAGCACCCTAAGAAGCTCAGCTTGGAAAAGGCAAGTTGGTGGATCTTGTGTAAACTAGTACGTTGTGGTGGATGGACGGTCGGGCTAGGATCTGGGAGACGACCCAGGTTCGAATCCCCACTCCGCCATGGAAGCTTGCTGGGTGACCTAGAGCCAGCCGTACACTCCCAGCCTAACCTACCTCACAAGGTTGTTTTGAGGATAAAACATGGGGTAGAAGAAGAGATTGGATTTATACCCTGCCCTTCACTACCCGAAGGAGTCTCAGAGCGGCTTACGATCTCCTTTCCCTTCCCCTCCCCACAACAGGACACCCTGTGAGGTAGGTGGGGCTGAGAGAGCTCTCTCGAGAACTGCACTTGAGAGAACAGCTCTGACAGAACTTGTGACTGGCCCAAGGTCACACCAGCAGCTGCGAGTGGAGGAGTGGGGAATCGAACCCAGTTCTCCCAGATTAGAGTCCGTGCTCCTAACCACGTCACCAAACTGGTGAACGAGCCCTTGAAAATATCAGGAGAGGGATAGGGGAGAGGTTAATTAATCCAATGGGCCTTCTGGACCATCAGTATCTCAGCTGTCACTTTCTCAACCTGCAAAACAGCAGGTGGGTGAGCCTTTCAAGAGGGCAAGCTGGCTGCTAACTAGGATTGCCAACGGGCCTGGGGGAGAAAAACGTCCCACCCCTTGCAGACAGACTGTTTGGGGTAGCGGTTATCGTTTCGCCTTAGGATCCGTGAGTCCTGGGTTCGAATCCACACTCTGCCACTCAACCGGTGCACAGACGTAAACAACGTCCCATTTAGCCTCTATTTAAAGGGACAAAACATTTCCCCCCAGGCAGTTGGCAACCCTGGCTTGTTACTCAGGCTACAGGCATTTCTAAGCGCAACACACATTCCTCCGCCTTCTCCGCCCTGCGTGACAACATTCCCCCCGCTCCTCATGACGCTTCCACACGGGACTCTCCCTACTTCTCTGTAGCCACAACAAACAGCTCGGGACTGACTGAAGAGTTAAGTGGGAGGGGACCGGGCAAGCCCCCCTTTGCTCTGCCAGGTATGAAGGAAAAATGTTCAAGAGGGACAAGGAAGAAAACACCCAAAGGTGTGTTAGAAGGGAGCCCAAATCCAGTTCCTCAAGACTCCCCACCTTTCCTTCCTTCCATTCCAAGCACCTTTGCTGATGGGAACAAGGTGTGCTATAGACACCTACAAAGGAGGAAAACAACCTTTTTTTAAGACCAGGCCCTGCCCACTTGCGAGAGAATTTGGGGCACTGATGATGGAATGCCAAACTGCAAACCTCTCCAAGGTTATTACGGCAGGCTGGAAACGGAACACAGCGGCTCCACGACACCAGGCCAAGTACCTTTTTAGGATGCGACTGCAGCAAGCAGGGCTGGCCCCAGCTTATTTTGCACCCTAGGCGAGGATCCCTTCTGGCGGCGCCCCCTGCGCCCACCAATTTTCAAAAATAAATGCATTTTAGGAAGAATGAAAAACACAAATAATCAAGAAACTCCCAGAGTACGGGGCCGGGTGCAGCTTGGCGCCCCGCGAGGGTCCGGCCCGCTCTAGCCGATCGCCTAGTGAGTGAGCCGGCCCTGGCAGCAAGCAAGCACCAGACTTTGTAGCCGCTTTTAACTTTCTTTTTCCATCTGGGTGGTTTTTTCCCCTGTGCCTCAAGAGCCGCTTTAAAAACACCACTGCTGTATTTTCTGCTTTCTCTTCTCTTCTAAGATAGAGAAATGTGAACCCCCTTAGATGAATTAGGTTTTTTGTATTGGCTCCTTTCGCTCCACCCTGGGACTCCACCGCTCTGCCCCTAGGCACCCGGGGGGGTCCCCTCCTTCGAGCTCCATTCCTTGACCACAAAGGCCCCTGGATAGGTGGGACCTCCGGCCAGCCTCTGCCCCTTTTCTGGTTCTTTTCAAGAGTCTGGCCTTCCCCAAGGACACCTGAGCAAAGACTCGTAGAATCACAGAGTCAGAAGGGGTTTGATTCCCCACTCCTCCACTTGCACCTGCTGGATGACCTTGGGCAAGCTGTAGTTCTGATAAGAGCTGTCCTTGAAAAAGAGCCGTTTCTGTCAAGCGCTCTCTCAGCCCCACCTACCTCACAGGGTGTCTGTTGTGGGGAGGGGAAGGGAAAGGATCTGTTATTGAGAAAGAGCAGTTTCTTTCAGAGCTCACTCAGCCCCACCTACCGCGACCTCGCGGGGTGTCTGTGGGGGGGAGGGGGAGGAAAAGGAGTTTGTCAGCCGCTCTGAGACACCTTTGGGTAGTGAAGGGCGGGGTATAAATCCAATCTCTTCTTCTTCTTCTTTATAATGTTAATAACAATCAAATGTGCAGAGCGGGGTATAAATCCAATCTCTTCTTCTTTTACCTCACAGGGTGTCTGTTGGGAGAGGAAGGGAAAGGAGCCTGTAAGACGCTCTGAGACTCCTTCGGGTAGTGAAGGGCAGGGTATAAATCCAATCTCTTCTTCTTCTTCTTCTTTATAATGTTAATAACAATCAAATGTGCACATTTTTAAAAAATTAAAAACGCGTGTGTAATCTTTGTTCATGCCTTGCGGCTCTCAAACGTCTGACGTTTGCTCTGTGTGGCTCTTACGCTGAGCAAGTTCGGCCACCCCGGCCTACGGTATCCCTGACAAGTCTTTGTTCGGACGCTGCTTAAAGACTGCCTGACGGCGTACACGATAAGGGGAACCTGGAGCAGGGGGCGTAGGGAGACGGCTTGACAAAAGGGGATCGGGGGTTCAAATCCCTGTTTTGCCGGCTAGGCTGTCACAAATTATCCTTCTTTCCATCTCAACCTGCCTCGCAAGACCAATGCGAAGATAAAAC